TAGGCGTTCACGGCCGGCTAGAGTTTGTTGCTGGGCTGGCCCAAATCGCTGCAGGTTTTCAGAAGAGGAATGGCAACGATGGTCATGACATCCCGGTTCTAGTGTCCGGCTCCCAGACTTGCAGTTCCGCCAGAGCTGCCAGCAGTATCGTGAATGGTTTCCGTCCACCCATCCACCCACATCCAGGAATGGACACTTTAGTATGGCCATGGGACTCACGACGGTCAATTTATAACATACTTTCTCCATGCACACTTCATACGGGCTGATCGCTATGAATGAGTTGATTTATGTCAAACTCTTGACAAGCTTCAGTGAAGGGCAAAACTGCCGATGGTTCATTGCCGCAAAAGAGGAGCATCCGGACGCACTGCCCAGGCAGCGCAACCAGTCCACTCAGCTTGTTCTCTCCAGACATCGGCAAAGTTCCCGCTTTGCATTGCGCTGGGAAGCTCGTTAGGCGCGAGAGCCCCGACAGCGAGTTGGGCAGCAAGTCCATCGAGCTTGGAAGCCCAGATCGTTTTGATCCAGGCATTGCCGCCAGGAATCGCCTCAAGAATAGGTACCCACAATGGTCATGTAAACAAAGACTAAAATGACTAACATTTGTGGTCCCCTGGTGGTTTGATTTGACCCATACTCGTGCAATAGGGTTTTTCCCTGATCGACTGGACTTAGCAGTTTTTGGTCGTGGAAGAGGCGAGGGCTGCGTGCTGCGCATGCGTGTTTTGGGGCTGGGAAGAGGTGGCAATGTGTGCTCGGCGGGGCCCGGCTGCGCGTGTTTCTTGGGCAGAAAACACTTTTTTTTCCTGTTTTCCGCGCGGGTCCATGCAAAGCGTTCGTAGATTGGAGCATGCACCGCCAGAGTCACTTGGCTAGATATGGAACATGTTGGCAATGCACCAGCGCAGGCTTTTGTCTCCTTTGTGTCATGCGTGATCAGAAAAGGCTTCCCAAACTTCGATCGGGACCCCGACTGGCTTTCCCACCGAGACGGAGGCACACAATCCTCCGTCTTGCCTGGGCCAGTTGGTTCTTTTTGTTTCGCCATACTTGAGGAACTGGAGATCCAAGCTGGAGGATGAGAAGGGCTTCCCTCCCAAGGCCGGGATCAAGCTATGCACCCGGGCGGTTCCACGAAAGGGACATGTGCCTCGCCTCGGATAGCATGAAGGATTTGGTCAGAGGTGCTTTTCTTCTGTTAAGTTGTGTTTTTTGGCGGAGCGCCCTGGATTCGCAGCCAGCCAGTCTACTAGCGAGAGTTGCTTCTACTTTCCATGGACGTTGAAAATTCAGTGGACGGTACACTGTTTGGAGCACGGGAGCGGGCAGGGAGCATCAGATTGAAGGTTCCCAATGCCAATGTTCGACATTTCCGCAGTGATTTGTAGTGAGTATTCTGTCCAGCGATCAGATTTACATGAAGTTTTAATCATGTTTACATGAAGTTTGCTTCTCATCTACACTGACATGCCATAAGCGAATGAGTCACTTGCAGCGTTGAGAAGGGTCATCCCTAGGTCTTGCAGGTCTATGACCCTATGACTTCAGGCATGTTCCGCACTTGCGGGATCTACCACACCCACAAGTTCGCCGCCTGATTCTGTTGGTTTGGGGCGTGGACCTGGAGCATGAGGGACCTTCTTGTCCGAGGCGCAAATGAGCAAGGATCCTTGATGCAGGATGTGTTTGGCATATCTGAAGGCAAGACGGCCATGGCCTTGGAGTTGAACCAAGACACATCGATTCTACCCGCTCGCAACATCCATGGCGCAGAAAGAGGGACACATCATATGTTTGTTTGCCTTCTGTTCCGAGAGACTGCTTGCTGTTGGCCAGGAGCACTATGAGCGACTCTTCAAGGGCAAGGCCATCGTTAGGGGGGTGAGGAACGGATGTAGGTTCATGAAGCTTCCGAAGATGTGCCAGCTGGGCATCGGATCCCAGTTTGTCTGAGTTAAGGTTGCCTGTTGCAACATCCCAGAGCGGCAGCTTGTTGGCTGGACATGCCAGCACTCACACAGCGATTCCAGCTTAAATACACCCGGCGACTTTTCAAGGGTTGCAAAATGGCTAGAGAATCTGCGGCCTGCAATTCAGCTCGGCCAGCTTGCTGCCTCCCAAGCGGCACATCTCAGCAGATCTACTTGTCCATTTCCGCTCTCAGTCTCGTAATCTCTGCTCTGTAACTTTAGCGTGGAAAGGTTGAATTCGGCAGTCAGCTTTCAGTGGGACTCGTGCATCCCAACTCGGAGCAAGTTTGGCCGCGGGTAGGCGTCCCCGGACGCCAGGAGCTCTACACATCCTTGGGCAACGGGCACTTCAATCAGGCGGGGCTATAGTGAAGACGAGAGTGCTCTGAGTTGCGATTGACACCCGGAAGGCCCCATCGCGGGGTTGAAGTAGATTGATGGCACGTTTGCTCATGAGGTGCAGCTGGGTTAGCAGGGACAAGAGCCGAAAATCAATTCCCCGGTTCTATCTTCGAGTTTGGGACGCTCGAAAGTCGGAAGACGCTCTTCGAGAACAGGTCGACCGTGAAATCACTGCTTTGGCATAGCTTAGGCGCTGAACCTTTTCTTCACTGAGAGCCCCAGCTGGGTTCTCGGATTCGGAGGGTACGGGGCAGCTGGCAGTGAGGGGACCCACCAAACAGGGATGCTCTGAAACACCGTTAGCATTTGAGCGCTGGCGCTTAGGATGAAGGCCATTCGCCACGTTGACATGCCAGCCACCACATCAGCAAACCTAGCCTGCCAAGCACCAGCAGGTAAACTCGAGTAAGCAGGACAGTCATCGGCAACTTGGAGAGAATTGCCCTTTGGTGGTTATGGACAGCCTGGTACCGGCAGGTGCAGTGAATACAAGCGAGGAGCACCTGCACACAGCGAAAGTTGCTGCTTGAGATGATAAGCCTGCACAATGGCAATAGACCAACCTCTCCCTCCACAAACGTGAACTCTGCCTTTGGGCGTCCTCCAATGGCAGCACCCCTATCCACAGCAACATGCGGGTATTACTAGTATGTATGACACCTTGACACGACCTTGCACAGGCGCCAATAAAGGCACCTTCGCAGGTAGCAGGCTCCGTTCCAGCAGCACAAAGGGTTCTTTGCATCCACTTCACCTTAGCTCAGCAATAGATTGGGCCAAAGCGTGCTGCTCTGTGCAGTTGTTTCGCGCATCCCGCCAGGCAGCACAGCTTTTTTTTTCTCCCCGATTCGAAGCTCAGCAGTGGTCGTGAGGTTTGATCGTTGAAGTTGCGGTTCGCGATTTTGGTTAACATTTGTTGGCAGCTAGCAACACTTGTGCGTGGTCAATGCACTTTTAAACTGGATGAGTTGAATCTCCTGTTGGCTGGGATGTGCACTGAGTAAGGGGGAGACCATGAGTTTGTTCATTGTTACTCACATTTCCTGTGTATATAGGGAGATCTGCGTGGCATGGGTTGACAGGAACATGAGCAGCCGTGAAGGTCCCTTGTGGCCCACATGTGGATTCATATTGTTTCGCGGCCTGGCAAAACGTCCATGTCAGGGACCAAGAGCGTTCTGCCCATGTCACATGTATTTTGGAGTCCATCGCACTGGCCATGCCTCTAGGCATCTACAACAACCAGAAGTATACCATCGAGAATGACCGCTGGGGAAAGGGGGGTGGCTGGGCATTTATTGGCATTGGCAGCAGTGCCAAGCTTCTTGGGGTGGGAAGAGAATGTTATCAAGTGAACTTCCTTGAAAGCACGTTTTTCAACGAGGCATGAATGTAGCTTGCCTTGACAAGGCCAAGGGCAATTCTCAGGCATTTCGCTTACCACGAAAATTGCCAGCCCAGTCCCTATTTGCCTCGAAGTTACTGCGCAGGTGCCTGTTTAAGGGGCATTACGGTTGGCTTCTTTCGTTGCCTTCATGTGGGTTTGGAAATGGCCTTTAAGGGAGGCCTTTACAGAATGAAGAGCGAAATGCCAGACATAGGCACAGGAAATGGCCACTGAAAGCCGCATTTTTTGTTTTCTTTCCCCGGAGGACAAAGACCTGAAGGAAGCCGTGTACCAGGGTGTTGGCCGGGCACCCAGCCGAATCCTGGCTGCCTCTCACTCGAGATCTTGGTCAATAATTCATCGTCGCTGGCGCTAGCAGGTTTTGTTGCACAGCTCGCTCAACCAAGAACAGGGATGGCCAATTTCTGACGCCTCATTGTTGGGCCGTGCCACTGGGTGCACGGCTGGCATGCAGAAAAATGAGCTGTGAAAAGAGGCAGAGGGTGGTATTGCTAGCACCGGAGTGGAATATGTAGGCCCCAATGGCCGGAGCTCTTGTTAGCATCCTTGTTCAGGCATTTGCTCTCAGAGTCGGTTCGTGGTAGTTGCTTTTGCTTCAGCAGGGGCCTGAGGTTGCTTTCCGGCGACTGGTTGGATGACTGTGCCGACTCAGGTGGAATAGCTAAAGGCCAGGAAATGTCATGAGAGGCATGGGATTGGAATACTGGCTGGGGTGTCATGAGAACTTGAATCTAAACAACTTCGGGGAGCAAAGAGGAGGCACCCGCCACTTCACCAAAATTCGGACACACGTTTTGCGGAGTCAATGCATCTGTCGCCGAGAATTTCGTCGAATGTCTAAACGTCGATGCCAAGGGGCTGTGGTGCTGAAGGGCGACATCCCCCTCAGGGATCGCTGGGCAGCCTAGTGCATTTCACCACCTCTAGCCAAGCATTTCGTTTTGTCTTTGAGGGTACTTGTACCTCATTTTGGTCGGTTTAAAGGGAAAACCACAGAGAACATCACCACTTTTGGGGGGTCCAACCCCAAAATAATACCCATTTGCAGGTGTCCCGAGTTTTAGCAGACACACACACACACACAGCCACACAAGTGTGATCTGCGGGCTTATATGGGCAGTCAGTTTGCCCTTGCCGTTGGCTTTACGTTCCTTTGGAATCCATTTGGGACTCTTTGGACCTCGTCAGGACGGTGCACTCTCAGGGGCTTTGTTCGCAGCTTCTTTCCTTTGGCCCTCAGTGAAGTTGTGATTGCGTACTCGCAATGGGGCGAGGCAAGGGCAAAGGCAGCCATGGAAGTGGGTATGGGAGGTGCAAGGGAAGTTCCAAGGGGAGTGGTGGCAAACATTCTGTATTACCTGAACTCGACAGCAGTTTTCTGTCCCACACTGAGCTTGAGCCTAAGATCCACTTCCTGGCCAGCTATTCATACACCGAAAAGAGCATGGACTCTATGCGGGTGGTTTCTCCAGCGTGGCCTGTGCGCAAGATCTTGTGGCAAGGGCAGCGATCCGTGCACATCGACTTGTCCCTGGCTCGAGGGCTTTCAAGGCTGCAGTTGGCGACGGGGGCGTTCCAGCTTACCCCGGACTTCACTCGGGTGTTGGGCTTGGCGAGTGCGCAATCTGCCCTGGATTTTGCGGGGCCCAACTCGGATGTGGTGGCCGCCTTGTTGGTTCTCAAGACCATGATGGAGTTTCAGCCACTGAATGGCCAAGAGGTGTTGCGGGGCATAGAGGACAAGGCTCTGAAGTTTTGCTGTTCCTCGCTGCATCTTCTGCCAGAGGAAGTGTTGCAGGCAATAGCAGAATTGAAGGGTCCCACTTTTGAATGCTTGCCCGGCCGGGAGGCTCTTCTCGAAAATTTTGAGGCAAGAGACAGGTGGAGCTTCTACGAGCTGCAGGTTCGCCTGATTCCTGAAGCATGGCGAGAGACAGCGAGAGCCAGCATTTTCTGCGCTCGCTACTTCCTGGTGGACTTGGCATCTGCGCCTTTGGATTTCTTCGAGGTTGACAAGAGCTATCGGCTCTTGCGACAAGGCGACCTGATTTTTGTGGCTGCAGCCAGCGAGTCGAAGGACAGGATGTCTTCAGGCAGGGATGCCCTGCGGCAGGGGCATCACTTCGAAGCCAGCATCGTGTCAGACCACTGGCTCGAGGAGGACCATCTCATAACTTGCTTGGAGCTGGGGGACGTGCGTGCCATATACTCAGCCGCGCCGGATGCTGTGGACCCTCGCTGGAGCCGGGATAATTTTTTTGGCAGGGGGGCTTCGAGCTATGCTGGGCTGGGCTACGAGGCTTGTGAGGTCCTACCGCCAATTATGAGCAACGGGTGCCAGGTGAATCCCAGCTGCGAGCTTTTCCAGGCGCAGCCTGGGAGAACAGCGGCGACGGGTGTTCAACCGCAACACTTTGTGGAGGTCAAGAAGACCACCCACTTGAACGGGAGGCCTGGGTTGTTCAAGAAGCTCAAGTTCTACGCACAGGCGAAGCTCATGAACTGTGGAGGTGTGGTGGTAGGTCTCACAGACGGCTCCGAGGGCGACACAGTCCTGGCCGTGGAGTACTTCTCCGTGGAGGACCTCGTGTCTGCCGTGGGCGCCGGGCTCTGCCGCCGCATGTGGGCCACCCTGGCGGAGCTGCTGCGCCGCGTGCGCCGCGAGACGCGCGCAACGGGCGCGAGCGCTACGAGCGCTTGGGGCGCGTGGACCGTGACGCTGCGGAAGGACCGGGGCTGTGCGCCGGTGGAGCTGCGCGTGACCCAAGGCTGGGGCGAGGGCGAGGGCGAGGGCGGCGCCGGCATGGCGGAGAGGCTCCAGCAGGTGGCCCAGTACTTGGAAGGTTGCTGACAGCAGCTTGGACATGCGCTGAGCACAGGCTGGGGCGTTTCCCATCAAACTTTCTGAAACGGTTTGATCTGGAGATGAGCAGAGGCACGGGCGATTGCATGTGCAGAGCGGCAGACATAAAATGACAATGTGGCTGAGAAGACTTAAAGGGGAAGTCTGAGTGCAGACGGGTTGCCAGTATTCATTCCGAATGTCCCCCCTGATTAAAGGCTGTCCCTTTTTCCGGCCCTTTCAGCTAATACTACTTGAAAGTCTTGAAAGGAACCTAACAAGCCCGTTTCATCGGCTTTGGCCCCGATAAACACTCCCCAAGCAAGTTCAAATCATCACAGCCCACAGCTAATTTCCAATACTTTTGCCAACGCTACTTTCCTAGTTCTGAGGGCCCTTGAATCTCTATAAACAAAAGCTAGCCTCCAAAACCTCTGCCATACTACAACGCCCCTGCTACTCAAGCCCCTTGGCACTGAAAGATGAAGATGCAAACGACAACCCGCAATCAAGCATAGCAAAACAGGGAGGGCTCCTTAAAAGATACATTTTGCCCATTTGAAACATGGCTTTTTGCACCAAAATAAGGCGAAACCACCATTTACAAGGCAATGTTCAGGTTTATGATGTGAGGATCCCTGTATAATTTGAATTTGTACACGTCGCCACGGGCAACTGGAAGGGAAGACGCTTTGATCACTGAAAGGGAAGCCTTGATCACTGCTACCCTTCCCGCGTACTAGGTTCATTTACCAAATTTACACCTTCGTCTAGTTTAAGGCATTGGAGGATATCCCAAGTGGTTCAGCACCAAGCAATGCTAGCAAGGCGGCTTGATTTTCCTCGCCTGGGTTTGAATTTGAGGCGAAACCATCAGCAAGCTCTTGAACTCCAAGCGGGAGTTCAAGTGGTCCGACCCCTAGGGGTTCTCGTTGTGGAAGCGCTGGCAAGCAAGGCCCTTTGCGCTCGTTCTCTGGTGGTCTCTCAGGATTTACATGTGTCTACAAGAGCAGGACTCTGCAGCTTCTTTTTTTGGTGAAGGAATCTCAAAAGAACAGTATCATTGGGCTTCAACATTTGTTGTATCACCTGAACGATATGTGGCATGGTAGGATATGATGCGATATGAGAATGTCCGATAGTTTGACATGACCTGGCCTAATCTGAGATGATGACCATGGCGATGTTTCATGATCATGATGACATGGTGGTAGTAGTGCTGCTGCTGGTGGGTGGTGGTGGTGGTGCTGATGATGATGATGATGATGATGATGATGATGATGATGATGATGATGATGATGATGATGATGATGATGATGATGATGATGATGATGATGATGATGATGATGACGATGATGACGATGACGATGACGATGACGATGACGATGACGATGACGATGACGATGACGATGACGATGACGATGACGATGACGATGACGATGACGACGATGATGACGATGATGACGATGATGACGATGATGATGATGATGATGACGCTGATGACGCTGATGACGCTGATGACGATGATGACGACGATGACGATGATGATGATGATGACGATGATTTTGATGGTGATCATGATGGTGAGGAAGATGAGGATGAGGGCGGTTGTTCTGGTAACAACCTTGAAAGTCAAAGTTGACCGACCTTAGCAGAGGAAAGAATAGCATGGTGCTGGGCAGCAGAGACAAGAATTGAAGGCAATGGACAAGTGTGAATGGACTTTTCTTTGTCGCTCCCGTGATGCAATTGGAAGGTTGTCCACCAAACGTAACCCTTACCCAGAAAGAGGCACAGAGAGCTTCCTTCAGGAACGTCAATGCGGACGGCAGCTTGAAGATCGCTGACGCTTACGAGGACACCAAGACCTGCAAGCAGTTCGAGGCGCGCGGCTCCGTTTTGGCAATCGATGCCACATTGTGACGGAGGGCAAAGCTGTTGGTGAAGCGACCGTGGGTGTGTAAAGCACTGAAGGTTGGGCTTGCGCGGTTTGGATTGGTCGAGGGTTGAAGATATAGCTACAAAATGGGAAGCCACCAAGGGGTAACCGGACTGACCTTGCGGCAGAGATGATGCCTGCGGCGGATGGCCAAGCGACAAACCCAACACACACACACACACACGACAAGGAGATTTCCAAGCATATGCTTGCGCCTAGCTGAGAACAAGACAATACAACTGGTGCCCATTTTTCTGCTTTCGGGGCTACTGCTCTGAAAGTGGCCGCTAGAGGAAAGGTGCATAATGTTCAACATGCAGCAAACATTTTGTAGAAGACATGGCCCAACCCTAAAACACTTTCAGTTGAGTGCTGTTCCTTGGCCCGATCTTGGGAAGAGCAATACATCTTCCGGGGTTTGACCCACTTCTCAGCTTCAAGCATCCCTGTGCCTCAGCTTGTCGAATCGGCCGATTTCTCGAAGGCTACCAGGCGTTTTTGATGCGAAGGGGTGGACAGCGACTCATCGAAGCCTCAGGCGCTGAGCAAAGTTCTGGATGCCTGGTGCTCGGGCGTGGGTTTTGCTTTTGGACGAGGGCTTGAATCGAATGAGCTGAGGTCAAACCAGCAACAAGGTTTGTATGAAGGCAAATGCAAAGAGTAGGTTGTTGCTTTGCAGCCGCCGTTTTTCCTTCTCCTTATGTCGAGTCTTTCCTGCTTTGTGCCTCACTTCGTGACTCTGATGAAGTTCCAGGGCGCAATCAGGCAAAATCGCCCACAAGAGAGCTCCGAACGGGCATCCCTTGTTCCCATGCTCAACCGCCCCCGGCAGATGGGCACATCTTCTGAACGAGACTCGGGGAGGTTTGATTGGCTTCTCCGTTGGACAAAAAACTTGGGGCTGCCCATATTTTCGGTTCAGTTTGCTTTGTGGGCGGGAGCTTACCAAGGCCGTTGAGCTGAATTGTTTGGTGCGGTCCGAGCTCGGCGTCAAAGACAGCCACCGGATCGGTCAGTGAGGCCTGGGCCGCGGGGTGAGTGTTGGGGAGGGGAAGCGATTGGGGCACTCATGGGGCCTTTTAGGTGTGACGTTTGATTGGGGACTGCCTCGGTGGACCTTTGACATCGGGATTTTTGTCCACCGCCCCCCCAACTCAGTGGTTCCCCGGGAAAATCCATGTTTCGATTCCGAATGCCCTCGGAAGTTCCTCTTTCAGCAGAGCCGCAACCAACAGCTATCCACAGTTGTAAGAAGACACATGTGCTCCAATGCTGACCATGGCATAGCGCAAGGCGTCCATGGATTTTCGTTTACCGACACTGTTTGGTCTGCAGTCATAACTATGTTTGCATCAGCAACCCAGGCATGGCTTTCTTTATGCTGATGCATGTACAGTACTAGATTCTGTGCTCGTTCCCTGCTGCGACCCTTCCGTTCCAAGATCATGCCACCTCCAAAAGTGGCAGGCATCATAGCTTCAGACTTTGATGACCTATTTTGGACATGCAGCTGTGGCGTGTACCCAGCTGAGTCCGAAACGCTCAACAGCAAGCTCGATGCAGCCAACTAAGCAGTTCTGTCATTGATGGCTGGCTGTTGTCAACACTCACTTTGCTTGATTCGCAATCAAGACTCGAAGCTGAGGTATTTTTTCCTGAAGTTGTCTTCCACAGCTTGTTATGCAAGAAGGGGTACTGCGCCGAGGGCAATACCGCGGCGTGCAATCCACAGCACCTTTATCCATCCAGGGAACCTGGCGAGGATGTTTCCCGTGCTGCCTATTTAAGCACCTGCTGTCTTCATGGGGTGCTTGTCCATTGCTTGCTAGACATTTTTGGCTTTGGCTCGCTTACCTCATCCTTGATGCCACTCCAAGAGCAAGGTTTCACAGTCCCCTGCCAAGGAACAGACGGGTGAGTGCATCCGAGTGGTGCCACTGTGCCTGGCGCAGTGCACCGGTACCTGGGCCTTGCGCCGGGGTACATGGCGGACCCACTCACGCAAATAGTTTTTTGTTTATCTACGCTCCAATGGCCTTGTGTTCTTAAGGTGTGTTCTTGGCGCAACGCCTGGGGTTTTGGGCGTGGGGGTTTTGAGTATTGACTCGCTCGCGCCACGTTCAGATGCAGCGGACGCGTTTTGGAGCAGGGCATCTCGGCATTTCCAGTACCGTAACCAAAGCAAGGGCCAAAACGGGATGCTGCTGTGAATCCATGACCTTGTGCTTGCCCATCTTCTTGCCAATTCTGGGGAGTCCTTCACCCTGAGGAAACGCTCGGGCGTACCATTTGCCAGAGCCTGAAATGCGTCCACTGCCGGACAGATGGGCGCCCGAGGGCCAGCCTTGAGGCTCAAGTGCTGGATGAAGGGTGCCTTGATGTTTTTCTGATATCACATTTTTTGTTTTTCTGATTGGATCGCTGGTGGTCACGTGTGACATCAGCTCCAGGTCTAGAGCATCCCTTGTGCCGTCCCTTTGTGAAGTGTCGGGACTCGGGCTGGCCCTTGTTTGGCACCCCTGCTTGAGACCGTGAGGCCCCTATAAACCGCCGGGATGGGCATCGGTTCATGGCTCCGGGTTTAGTCATGTCCTCTGAAATGAGCTGAGTGGTTTGGCAACTCGGTGTCACCCACCAATCGTAGTTGTGAGCCGGGAAATGGAAATGGTTGCTCCGGAGTCATGGCACCGTGCCGGCTTTTCCAGTTGAGAATAATTGAGAGTTGACGTGTGGCGGTTCTTCGAGAAGGGTGTGGAGACTCGGACCCCAGCTATGGATGATGCCTAGAGCTTCCACACCCGCGCTTGATCAATGCGCCATTTTCCGCTCAACATTTGGGTCGCGCTCAAGCTGCTCTCGCATGGGGTGCTTGAGTGTAGACCTGAATCTCTTTTCCCTCCTTAGGGGCTGGTGCCATCAGCCGCAGGAGACTTGCAGGGCTTGCGCGGCAAGACTTCGTCACGGGCTTTTTCCTTGGAGGGCCATGGGGTGAAGTCTTGCTAAACAGATGAGTGTGCTTTTTCTTGGGTACCCTTTTTGCGGTGGTCTCGTTGGTAATCACTCATTGAGGGCGTTCCCCGATTGTGAGACAATCCTAAATGGGATTTCATCATGGTTTCATAGCCGAATGCCAATCCACTGTCTTCTTGCATCTTGATGGCCAGATGCCTGTTGTAATCAAGCCCAGACTGCGTTTTTACGCGTTGCTGCAGGCCCTGGGAAGATGCCTTGAGTAGGCCCCTTCTGCCTTCTTCCCCCGTGGAAACGCCACGCAGGGAGGGGTCTCTTTTGCGAGGATTCCTCATAAGCTGGTCCGTGCCTTGAGCAGAGCATGGGCAGAGGCCAGAGTCAAGTCTTCATCTGCCATTAGGTACCCCTTCCTCGGGCGTGGAGGTTAGGTTAGGGGTTAGCCGGGGTGCACTCCGTCATCTGCCCAATCTGCCCTTGCTCTTTGTGGCCGGGGCAGGACCTTTTTAAGGTCTGCCGCTCAGTGGCAACGTCCATTGCTCCACGGCAGACTTGGGTGAGCGAGACAACGCGAGACCGAGATAGCAACCCGGGAAACTGGCTTCTCCAAAAGATAATCATGCTGCGGCATGGCTGATTCTCTCTGATCATGGATGTCAGTAGACGTTTTTGGTTGCTGGATGGATTCAGTTTTTTTTTTTTTTTGTAATGGGTTAGTCGGAGTCATAGAGTCATAGAAGGTGAAACCGCTTGGTGGGACATGGGACCCCAATTCCCACCAGCAACATTCTTCCACAGGAAAAGTACGTAAATAAATGTCTGGGGCTGCACTGCATCGTCAAGGACCTCAGTGCTTGGGGGAACAAAGAGGTTGAACAGTTTCACAGAAGAAGGAAGGATAGATTGTCTTAGGATCACAACATGGGACCTTGAGACCACATACATATTATGAATTTGCATATGGAGAACATATATATATATATATAGAAAAGGTTACCTCCCCCCCATGAACTACATTTGGAGCATGCGGTTGATCTCACCCTTCCTTTTTGCAAGGTAGCCTTTTTGCAGCCGCGAGGCCCAACTCAGGCTGCAATGCTTTTGATGCTGCCTTTCTTACTGTTCCTCGCGGTCCGCCAGGTCTCGCAAGAGGTTTGGTCCTCTTTCACCACGCAGGTGGGGGACCTGGGGAGGACCTTCGCCTTTCGGGCGCGCTGCCGGGCAACGTGCTGGCCGTGGCCTGTGAGGAGGCGAAGGTGAGTGGCGAGCAGATGTCGGTGATCCATGCGGCCCAAGTGCGGTTAGTACGACGACTGGGAGGACCCGAACCCGTGGGAACAACAGCGTATTGGCCGAGCAAGATGGGAGGTTGGGTTCCTCTTCGTGGGGGGGATCCCACCGCCAGAGGAAGAGGAGCCGACCCACGAGCAGGTGGCAGCGCTGGAGAGGCCAGCAGCCACGGCAGGTTTGCCGGCTTGGCATCTGGTCTGCGAGGCGGACGACCTTGCGAGGTCGGAGCATGGTTTGACGGAGGAAAGCCCGGAACTACTCTTTGAGACTTGTTCATCAGGACGATCGTTTCTGGGGAGAGCAAGTTCATCAACCAGCCATCGCGTGGCTGGCGCATGGAGGACGGGGGGTGCTGTTGACGCCAGCGGAGCAGGTGTGCGTGGGCACGTTCCGGGCCTGGGCGCGGTCGCGGCAGAGCTGGAGGGCCGGGAAGCGGGCGAAGAGGAAGAGGATGCCCGACAAGCGGGTCGCCCCGCTTCCGCAAAAGAAACCAAAGGAAGGGGAAAAGGAAAGGATTCGCAGGAAGAAAAGTGCTTTGCATGGAACAATGGGAATGGTTAGGGGTGCCTTGTCTCGGGAAGGTGAAAAGGCCACAAGTGCACCGGGTGCAGATGCCCTGGTCATCCCTCGAAGGATTGCCCATCAAAGCGGAAGTGAAGCTGAGGCTCCAGCGAACGCGCTTCAGGCTAGGGTGGCCGGAGCCGGAGTGTTTTGCCATGGATGGGGACTCCCGCAAAAGAGGACGTTTGTGTTCCTTCACCGTTACGTGGGCAAGAAAGATGTCCTCGGCAAGGCCATGGTCGCCGAGGCTGAGAAGGAAAAGATCAAGGTGAAGGTCATCAGCTGCGATCGCAGTGGAGAAGGCGGGCAGGATTTGCTGGCGGATCAACCCTTCAAAGAAGGGCACGATTGCGAGGTCAGGAAGGCGAAGGGCGAACAGAAGAACGGTAGAGGTTTTCCACTCTGGAGAAACCGCCTCCTTTCAATGTACCGGGTGGGAGCTCTTGGAGGTGGAGGAATTTGTGAGGGAGGACGCCAATCGCACGCCGCCGCTGGGAGACATTCCGCAGTTGGTGGATGTGTGCAACTGCGGGGTTGCAAGACATCTGCCGGTTAAGGAGGCCAACAGTGCGCGCTCAGCGCAGTACCTGCAGGAGCAGAGAAGCACGCGCGCCTGGCCATCAACCGCTTCAGGTACATGGGTCGTGGACTGGCTGACGGAGAAGGAGAGCAAGCTTGCCAAGGAGACTGAGGAGCTCCGTAGCAAGCAAGCGACCGTGGAAGAGCAAGGACAAGGTAAGTGTGGCATGTTTAAGAAACCGTAGCAAGCAAGCGACCATGGAAGAGCAAGGACAAGGTAAGTGTGGCATGTGTAAGAAACCGCCCTAAGGATGGCGAAAAGGGTTTCTGGTGGGGTGGGCTTGGAGGACTGCGGGTGGCAGTTTGCAACAGGCAACTACCGCCCACTTTCAAAGGAAGAGACGGGTGGCCTTCAGCAAAAGCTCGCGGAGTACCAGAGAGGACAACGAGGCTGGCGAGCCAATATGCCGAACAAAGCCAACTTGTGAATAGGTGCTCCCGCTTTCGCAGCTTTTGAGGAAGTAGGGGAATGCGCCTGCTTGTCGTCAGGAGTGGGCCACTTACCGTGACTCAACTCAGCAGCAGCAGGCCAGGAATATTCTTGTCCCTGGCATCTAAATAGAGTTGGCTGCTTCTCAAAAGAACGAGGCAAGAGAATCCAAAACCCTGAAGCAAGGCGCTCCTGGTGGCATTGAGCCGGAGTACTTGCGTGCTGTCAGGAAACAGTTGTGCCTGTTTTTTCTTCAACACTAGCACACTGCGTGCTGCCAGCAAGTATCCAGTCATCACGGACACTTCTGTGTACACAGCCAGGGTGCTGCCGCCGCACATGACGAAGCCATGTGGGCAATGAACGCGCTGCTCACCACAAGCCTGCTGGAACCCACCATGTCCTACAGGTCAGCGATCGGGGTGCATCCAGAACCAATCACTGTAGAGGAGGCGTACCAACTCAGTGACAACCCAGCAGCTCCATCAAAGGGCCTCCAGACAGTTGCAGCAGGCGCTGGCAACTTTGCAAGCTCACGTGTCAAGCTGCTTCTAAGACATCTTATGAACCTCAAAGCTCTTTATAAAGCTTTGTGTAAAGCTCCGTACACGGCGCTTGTTTAAAGCTCTTTTCAAGGCTCCTCACAATGCTCCTAAAAGGCTCCTTGTACCTTGTAAGGATGCTTAAAGCCGTTTAAGGCTCGAAAAACTACTTATGAGGCTTATAAGGCTCAGGGTACCGTGTTGGATTCTCATGGATTCTAATTAGGAAGTTCATAACAGTTCGGCTGGAATTTCTAGTTTGGATGAAAATTTACAGGGACATTTATTCCACATGATGCAAGTGGTAGAATGAGCATGGAGTTTAACAGGGAAAGAGTTCCACTAAACTATATCTTTAGTTAGAGTTGCGATGACATCAAAAAAGGGCATAACTGATTTGAATGTGTATTATACTTGAGAATTAAAGTCGGAACTGCTTTCAAATAGGACGTTATATGCTACTGGATTTTGAACGATCTATGCCGATTGCTAATCTATTCAGGAGTTCCTTTCCAAGCAGGGTTTCAACCACAAATGCAGATGCCTACACGTTGTTTTCGACATGTTGGTACTTGGTGGGTGCAGACACAAAGATCGAATGAAGATGAGCAAATTTGCAAATGAGAAGATGATCCTGCAGAGCTGGTTGAATCAGACACGCAAGCCCCAAATTTAGTTCATTTGGGGGGGGGGGGCGCGTGAGCATATATACAAATATATGTATATACACAAGTTCACAGATATATCCCTGCATATATAGAAAGTATGCACATACACATCTACAGCTACACTAATTTCAGAGTTGTGCCTCTTTCCCCTGCCACAGTCCATCCTCAATGCTACTGTGGAAAGCACAATAAAATTCGGATGGTTTCCATCAACTGCTCGCTTGCGGCCAGCGAGCCTTGCGGGGTTTTCATGCAGTCGCCGAGTCGCCCATGGCTCAGCAGTGGCTCCTGGGGCACTTTCCCTTGACCGCCCGACGGCACTGGACACCCAGCTTCGGCCTTGGCCAGTGCCCAATTGCGTTGAATGCCAGCAGCGCCTTGGCAGAGCTTGGAATCCGGCTTCTGACTCTGGCATTTGGCTGGCTTGTGTTCATTGCAAGCGAAAAAGAGGTAGTTGGCAACCATTGATTTGCCACACTGGTTGCCGACCCATCTTTTTCGCATGGTTTTCTGCAATCATTGCTGTGTTCGTTGCGAAACGAAAATAGGAAAGGACTGAAAAGAAGTTCGTTGAGCCGACCACGCCTTCTCAACGTGCAGGCTGTTGACCTTGATGCCTTCGTTCAATCTGTCCAACCGTCGACAGTGTTGACTCAGCGTGCCAGATTGAACATTTCAGGTCTAGAAAGAGGCTTGGTGCGTTTTGCTTGGTTTTCAGCGAGCACTTGCATGGAACGACTTGGAAATCCGTAGGAGAAATGGCCAGGCACATGTCACAGTGTGCTCATGTGACAAGTGTAGAGACCGGCCTGCACCTTTGCAATCTACCTGCCGAGATCCATATTCGAGAGCATAGCTGAAGATCAACTCCATCCTTTTCCCAATTTGGAAGTTTCACTTGTCCCTGCCTGTTGCTGCTTTGCTGTGATCAGGTCTTAATTTCCTGCCTGATTCCCCTTGTGGCTTGTCTCCCTTGCATTCTCATTTCGCTTTGCGATTTGTCGAAACCAGTGGGGGAGTTCGTTTTTCTAGAGGTCATTCCATTTCTCATTCCTGGGATGCACTAAAAGGAAGCCACCAGTTGGATGGTTTAACTCGGGGTCACTCCAACTCACATCGCAGCGATCGCCCAGAAATCTCGTCATTCCATGTCTCCTTCCCCTATCGCACCAGCATTCCCAGAGAGCCTCCCGGACCTCCAGGTGCCAGCGGCTCGGTGCACCGAGGACTCTTGGCTGACCGTGAGGCTGGGTGACGGGGAAGTTTCAGGTCCCAAGATGAGGTCGAAGGGTTTCGGCATCCCTGCCGGTTGCTTCAAATTTCCGCCTCCAAGCTTCCATTTGCTTGAGGATTATTGGAGGGCTTGGTTCTCCGAGTTGATGTTGGAGGGAGAGACTATTCCGCTTGGGGACGCTCTTCCCCATTTCCCGCGCGAGGCGCAGAGCGTCTTTCTCCGTGGGGAGGCGGAAAGCTGCGGGGATCCCTGCTGGGCTCGGCTGGAGGACAGGTCGATGGATCCAGTTCGATACTCTGCTTGTCCCTTTTTTGCGGGCGAAAGGACATCATGCTTTGAGGTTCCCAAGAGCAGCATTCGCCTGTGCGCTGCTTTGCCTTTGTGCGAGTTGGCGGGGAAGTTTTTGGCATCGGCTTTTTGTTTTGCAGGGATGGAGATGGGATGGGTGAATGAAGTGCCATGTAAACCGTTGGAGGTTGCTGACTTTAGATTCCATGTGCCTGTGAACCACTGGCTTTAACTCGAGTGGCGGCAGCTTGCCTTGCCAGGAGACAGCATCGGATGGCACGACCGCTTGGTTTCGTGAGACGGCCGCTTTTTTTGAGAGCCTCTCGCATCTTGAGCATCCGCACCTGGTTAGGCAGGGGCGATGGGGCGATGAGCGCGTGCGGCACATTTTTCCACGCATTTTACTGGTCGAGATGGCGCAGATCATTGAACTCCAACGCAGCAGTTGGGCGGCTGCTGCTCAGGGAAAGTTTTTTTTTGGGGTCTTAAAGGAAACCCACCAGTTGGATGGTTTTAACAAGGGGTCGTTCCATTTCTCATTCCCTGCATCTCTCGCACCGATCGCTCCAGATACCTGGGCGTGTGCCGTGGCCCTGTACGAGATCTCGCGGGCGTGCTGCTGGAGGGTTCCGGGGAGGAGACACGCGGCGGAAGTAAGGGGGGAGGGCAGGTCTTTTTTGACTTTTTTGACGCCTTGTATGGACAAAAAATATAAGTTCTCTACAGAAGGGTGCCTCTATTTCTGGCGAAAGCGTGTGCCCTGATGGGCTTGAGGTTTGCCCAAGCTACTGCAAAGGGAGCCAATGTGCTGGCTCAAAGATGCTTTCCAGGTCTTTTGGCTATCTTGGAAGGTAAACACCCAAATGATTCCTTCAGCTCTGGAGGCAAATCACACGAAGCTCCTGTTCTGCTGGTGCTTGAGATCCGCTCATCGTACGCAGGTCCCCTTTTTCATGGTCGGGATCAGACTGGCTATGTAATGACTACCTCACTTAGAGATAAGCTGATTTTGAGGTGTGCTTGGGTCGCCTGAAGTGAATGCAGTAGATCCAGATTCGGTAGCTCAAGACAATCAGTTTTGTCCAACCAACACGTAGTGAGTCCTTTCGTGTTTGTTTTCCTTTGCACTGGAGCGCGTCGGTTTTTCCGAGGCTCCCATGTCTTTCTGCGCATCCATCCCTTCTGCCAAAGGCAAGATCAATTGTTGGTGCACCGCTTCGCGAGCTGAGGAAGCTGGTCTCGCTCACGGAGGGCCTCAAGGGCTGGAGCCGGCTCCCAGGCGAAGTGCACGTGTGGATATATATATATATATATATGTATATATATATATATATATATATATATATATATGTGCATGCATGCATGTATGTCCTGTTGCGTTTATGCATTGCATGTGTGCAGGAATGGTTCTGTGTGTGGGCACATATGAACGCACATGTTTGCGGAGTGCACGTATGTATGCATGTGGGTCAACCGGAGAAAATCTGGCCTCGGGGTCGGCTTTTGATTTACACTTGTAGGTTTAAGTGTTTGTAGACTTGTTGGTCCTCTGATGTTGTGTGCAGGCGTACAAAGGACTATTCGGGTTAGAGACCGCCGTTGTTATTGTTTGGTCTTGTTGACATTTCCTGACAACTTAGCCTCCTTTTCGTCCGCCTCTAAATCTGTGCTTGAGTTTGAGTAGCCAGTTTTTCTTTGCTGGCACAGGAAGCAATGCTAGGCGCTTGACAGTCAACCTTGCCAGAATTAGCCTTCAAAGCAAAGATGCAACCTTCCAACTGAGGCATGGTCAACCAGCATTTCGCAAAGCCTGCCGTTGAATACTGTTATGTTCACTTCCTGCAGGACTCAGAACGGCTTTTCACAAGCCGATTGTGATGCACTGAAGAGCTGCCACGGGTACAGTTGGTGGAGGAGGTTCTAATTTTATGCAGCGTGTGTTCAAGATGGCGTTCCACTTCGCTCGCTCATTGCAGGGGACTGGGAGGATGCGGCGGAAGGGCTGCAGGCTGCAGAGGAGGCAGAGAATCGGCCGGTCTGACTCCGAGTTTTTTTTTTGCGGGTGTGGGTCAAGAATAGCTACCCAAAATGGAGCCTTGGTAAATGGAAACATGGACTAAAACCTGGTGTTGTAATTTTGACTCATACCCTTATTCCTTTTTGTGAATAAAGAATTGCTCCCCGGCGTAGGACTGATGTGCTTTCAATGTATCATAGATCGGACTACAGCTGCCAGCTAGCAAGCTAATGCACGTTGCCAAACCATCTGACGTTCTTGTGCTTGCTATTGCGTTAGAGACCCAATTCTGTAAAGCTTGGGAGAACAGTCTTGCGACGCATTTCAGCCATTCCCACCGGGATTGGGGGCCAAGCACATGCTTGGGTAGTCTGCTGGCTGACTTCTTCTAAGACGGGTCAGAATCGATACTGTCAGTTTGGCGCCGTTGGTTCGGGTCATTGCACATCAGCGGACTCACTCAGCAGTATGTCAGTAAGAAACTGGAGCAATCCCTGAAGCTATTCTGATGAGCATTTGCATGACTTTGCATATTCCATGTGAACACGACACCTCACAAGCTCATCCTGAGCTTGCAGGTGACGCAGCAGTTGATGTCTGCCTTGATGCCGCCTGGCTGCGCTGAGGTGCTTGCGCAACAGCATGTCGTGACAGTCTGATGCATGCAGTTTGTGTAAACAGGATGTAGGACAAAGAAGATTTGAACCCCAGTACGTTTGTCGGGGAAGTCTTTCAGGAACAGGTCAGAAACCCAGCTATGATACCCGTTGTCTGCACGCGCCATCACCTGCACAGGACTCCGGGCCTGCTAAGCCTGCTGGCACTCATGCATCGGCAGATACATGCAATGAAAGACTTGACACAAAGTTATGACAGCTAGCCAATGCCTCATTTGCAATGAACAATTGAGCATCTAATGCAGATAAGACATCATTTCAAGCTGTGATCCTATGAGGGTAATGTGCCCACATTACTCCCGCCTCGTGCCAGACTCAAGCTGACTTAGAGCTTTGTGGTGCCTAATTGCCAATCGCACATCTCGACCATGGCGGACTCCAAGGTCAAGGACATGGGCCTGGCAGAGTTCGGCCGCAAGGAGCTTACCTTGGCTGAGCACGAGATGCCAGGCCTCATGGCGGCCAGGAAGGAGTACGGCCCTGGGCAGCCGTTCAAGGGCTTGAACATCAACGGCTCTTTGCACATGACCATCCAGACAGGTGTGCTCATCGAGACTCTGAGCGCTTTGGGCGCAAAGGTGCGCTGGTGCTCTTGCAACATCTTCAGCACGCAGGACCACGCTGCGGCTGCCATTGCCAAGGCCGGCACATCCACAGTGTTTGCCTGGAAGGGCGAGACCCTGCCAGAGTACTGGTGGTGCACGGAGCAGATGATGACAGTGCCAGGTGCGGATGGCTGCGACCAGCTCGTGGATGACGGAGGTGATGCCACACTGCTGATGCACAAGGGCAAGGAGTTCGAGGAGAAGTACGCAAAGGATGGCAGCCTGCCAGACCCAGCCAGCACCACCAACGCGGAGTACAAGTGCATCCTGCAGCTGCTGAAGGACTCCATCCCGGCGGACAAGACGAAGTACACGCGCATGGCGGCCAAGTGCAAGGGTGTCAGTGAGGAGACCACTACGGGTGTGCACCGTCTTCGTGAGATGGCTGCCAAGGGTGAGTTGCTGTTCCCAGCCATCAACGTCAACGATTGTGTGACTAAGTCGAAATTCGACAACGTGTACGGCTGCCGCCACTCCCTGCCTGACAGCATCATGCGTGCCACGGACGTGATGATCGGTGGCAAGCGCGCGCTTGTGGCAGGCTATGGAGATGTGGGCAAGGGCTGCGCTTTTGCTATGAGGGGTGCAGGCGCCCGCGTGCTGATCACAGAGATTGACCCCATTTGCGCGCTGCAGGCGTGCATGGAGGGCTTCCAGGTGGTGACCACCGAGGAGGTGGTTGGTGAGGTGGACATTTTCACTTCGGCCACTGGCAACTTCAAGATCATCACGCTGGACCACATGAAGAAGATGAAGAACAACGCCATCGTGTGCAACATCGGGCACTTTGACAACGAGATTGCCATGGAGGACCTTGAGAACTTCCCCGGCATCAAGGTGGAGAACATCAAGCCTCAGGTGGACCGATTTGTTTTCCCCGACGGCCACGGAGTCAT